AAGAAAAATAAATATGATGTGATTCATAATAATGAAAGAAGAATAGAAAAAATAAAATATGATGTTTTAAAAGAGATTTATGATGTAATTTGTAATACTGGAAAATAAAGAATAAGAATGTAAGCAGAAAATGTAAAATGTAAAATAAAATGTAATGCGTTTGAAAGAAAAATATGAAAGAAGAATCCAAGAATTATATCTTGTGAAATAAGAGACTCGGTATCCTTGCACTGCCCACGATAAACAGACCTGGAATCATAGAGACTTGAATAATGCTCACATTACTCAGAACAAAACAAACTTGTCAAATCATGAAATTAAATCCCAATTGAAGCTTCCTTAGTGAGTGTTGACTGAAAACCAAAGTTTGAATCATCACGACCCCAATTCGTCCCGTTATGAATCCAAACCCTTAATTCGAGATAAACTCAAATACAGACATTAATATTGCGCAACTATTGAAACATAAGCTTTTGATCTCAACAGGTGTCACATCTTTAAGAGTTAAAACTCTATCTCAATACTAAAGGACAGTAAAAACTTTGAGCACTTGCAAACTTGAGCCCTTGATGAATCAATTGACATGTTATGAGGTCTGAGAAACCTTGAATAGTTGATAAACCCTAAAAAAAATTAAAGGAAAGGGAGGGTAAATTTTGGGGTACAAGAGAAGGCCACGGGGTTGTTGTTGGTGTTCATATTAGTTAAGAAAATTGCCATTGTAATGTGAAAAAGAAGGAAGTAAAGCTAAGGAATTTTCGGGTTTGTGAAAGTTGCAGGAAAGCAAGAATGGTGAACAAAGAAGAAGAAGGTATTCAAAACCTTAGAGGAGTATTTATATATGAAGATGATGTCGTTGATGGTTAACAAGGGGTAGTTTGTGTATGGGATTGTGTTTGTTTCGTTCTATGAAGTGGGAGAGTTAGTAGGAGTGGTTTGAAAACCCATGACCTAGAGAGAGAGGTAATCATGAGAAGTGATGGAGAGTATTCATAAATAGCAGGGTATAAAGTAACCATCATGACGTATTATGTTAGCTAAGTGGGCATGATGTCGAAAATTAAAAACGCCAAATTTCTCAGTCAAAGGTAATCTCAATCAAAATTGGCCTTTTAGGGGGCAATTATCAGCCAGGAATTTTCAACTAAAGCATAAAGGAAGTTGCAAGTAGATGAAGGTCCAAAACCAGACGAAAGAATTTCAATCGAAAAGGGAGCAATATGGATGATAGAGTCTAGAATTGAGATGTCGGAGAAAATTAATTTAGGAGGCACACAGTTTGGCTAGTCTAAAATTCCATAAAGACTATATGAGGACTTAGCCAAATTTTGTGTTAGACTGCTTAAGGTAAATTCGAAGAAGCGAACAGTTGGAATGGGCGTTTTCTAAATGCGGTTGTGAAAGACACGTGGCAAGTTGTAAATATTTGAACGTTAGTAAAAGTTATTTTTATAATGTCTATATAAGCAGAATTTAGGTTCAGTTTTATGGGTCCGCATGTGTAACATTGCAAGAAAAACTCAAAGTACCTGTGTTAAAGAGAGAAACGAGTGACTTCTAAAAATGTATGCATGAGTTCCAGTTTAATTTCAAAGCAACTTACCTTTTCTTTCAATATCATTTCTTTACTTTCCATCAGTTTTTATCATTTTTATCTTTTCATTTGTGTTGCATAAACATTCATTCAAATTTTCTAGTCACCCAAACACTAAAAATCCTTTAAGACTTAGAATTATATTCTAGGATTTTGAAGTCGATCTTGTAAGTTAACTTTAATAAGAAGTTAGAGATTATTTACCAGAAATCAAAGTAAAAACAATCACTTGTAATTTTATTTACAAATCGAATTAAATTTTTGCCTAAAAAAAAATCCAAACTACAACACAAACAATCCTAAAAGCACATATAATTCTTTAGTCTTTAATTATAAAATTATTTTATAAAATTTATTTGTGAATGGATACTTTAATTTTTAGAATATTTATTAGAAAGAAACTTAAATACAATTTTTTAAGTGTTGTTTTTATTATTTTTCAATAAAATATGATAAATATATTTCAATATCGTTTAAAGAGTGAAAATATAAAGAAAAAATTATATATGTAAGAGAAAATTATACCGTTATCATATTTTCATTAGAAAATAATAAAAATTACACTTAAACAATTATATCTAAATTTTCTTTTATTTATTACTCTTTTATATTATAAAGCATGAATATATTAAAAGAAAAATGAATGCAAAAGAAAAAGGAAAAGGATTAAAGCATGACTCCCTAAAAAAATGAATCTTAAAGAAAAGCAAATCAAATTTATTTTATCCGACAAGTCATTTATAGAGCATGAATAAAAAAAACAAATTAAACATATCTATAAACCAAAAACCTAATATTTATACACAAAACATTTATATTAATTACACTACAAAAAAGAATTAGTCTTGTGTTGTAAGATGTTATATATATATATATATATATATATATATATATATATATATATATATATATATATATATATATATATATATATATATATATATATATATATATATATATATATATATATATATATATATATATATATATATATATATATATATATATATATATATATATATATATATATATATATATATATATATATATATATATATATATATATATATATATATATATATATATATATATATATATATATATATATATATATATATATATATATATATATATATATATATATATATATATATATATATATATATATATATATATATATATATATATATATATATATATATATATATATATATTTGTTGTATTTCTAAGTATAAACGGATTAGAAAAAACCAATTAAACTAATAATATAGATCAATCTAAACAAAATAAAAAAACGATAGTTTTTTTGTTTGATTTAATTATCGATTTTATTTTTTAGAAACCTTCAAATCGATGAACTAATGATTATAATTACTCTATAAATCTTTTATTTCACTTTATCATTAAGCTCAAATTTTATATCGGTTCAATCATTCTTCATTTTTGTTGATAATTTCTTCCCTTCAGTAAAACACACTATAGAACTAAACTCCAAAATATAAAATATAAAAATCAAATGTCACAAAAATTTATTTTCGGTTAATTGTTTCTCTCGTATATCGTCACTACTATTGATCTCTCTACCTTCATTATGATATGTTATGGTCATCTTCATTAGCTTTTATTTTTTTAAACTTTTTTTGTATCTTCTTCTTCAACAAAATTACTTTTAGTCTTATTACAAAATAATTCTAATGTATGTTTAAGGTGTGAAACATTTTAATTTATGTGTATAGGAATTTTTTGTTGTTATTGTTGTGTTTTATTATTAAGATTTTAAATCCTTTCTCAGTCTTATCCTTACGATGTCAAGCGTCAATTTTTATATTTGATAGAAATCACTTATTTCATTATGTAATGAAAACCTTGTCATTATTTTGTATGAATTAAGAACAACCGGTAACTGGTTTGAAAAGATAGATCATGAAATAAATTACATTAATGTTATACATCAAAAAATATGATAGTGGAGAATAGGGATGACAATAGGTAGGGTACTATAGTATTCATCCTCATATCCGTGATTTGAAAAAATCTCAGTCTCTGAACTGATACTTGCGTGAGCACCAACTTTTGTACCCGTATTTGTACCCATACTCGTACTCGTTTACCCTGATTTCTAATAGTAAAAGTTATCGATCAATTCTAATTTATTATCTCATTTTAAATTTTTAACAATATTTAAAAAAAAATCAAAAACGTTATTGTTGAGTTAAAAAATAAACAAAGATTTTTATTAAAACGTATATAATTTAATTGTGATGTACTTATTTTATAAAATTGATAAACATATATGTATATATAATAATAAAAGTAAAAAGATATAATTATACATTATGCGGGTATGAACGGGTGGATACTAAAGTACTCGTACTCGCGCTCATACCCATTTATTTACTCATTTTTTGGATTTTGACCCTACTTATTATTCGATGATTTTTAAAAGCACCCACCGAAGATGAGTATAATTGTCATCTCTCGTGAAGAATAAATTAATGAATATAATATTTAAAAAAATGATAAATCGATCAATCGAAGCAACTCCAATCGATTAATTTGATTTAGTTCTATTTTTAATATTTTAAAAAATACTAAAAAAATCAAATCAAACCAAACCAATAAAGATATCATCATCGATGCATCCTTTACGTATCAAGAAAAAATAAAAAAGAAGAAGAAAGACAATAATGTTTTAATAAATTTACTTTATTAATTATTATTGTAATCTTATTACAATAAATATAAAATAAAAAGTATTCATTTTAGAGGAGCATACGTAGACTATATTAAATACATATATAATTAAAAATAATAATTGAAGATAAATCAAAAGTTAAAATCGCATTTTTTTTTCGTAAAAACAAATAACTTTTTACAAATAGACAAATGTTAATAGAGGCAATAATTAATTTAATTTATTTTTCTATTTTATATGTCCTGTACGGTGTACCCACTTCTATCATTGAATTAAAAATATAAAATAAATAAAAAAGGTAGTGTATAGTATGGTTATTCATTTGTGAGTGGTTTTCCTTACCATAGAATCTGTCCTAAAATAGCCATCGATTCGATTCTGAGCACTCACTCATTATCCTCCTTTCGGAAATCTGTGCAAGATTGAAAATTTATGCTATTTTTAATAATATAAATAGTACTTATTAATATATTTTTATTTACTAAATTTCATCTCATTTGACCGTTTTATTATGTAATATGTAGTATTTTTTAAGGGATTTAATTGGGTAAACTTTTAAAAAAAAAAAGAAAACTAAATTGACAACAAATTTAATGATATATAGACAAGTATTTAAATTTACGTAATTTTAAAAGGAGTGATTAATACACAGTACTCCATTCACATGCTTCCAACTTCAATTTCAATCGACCACTCTCTCTGTCTCTCTAAATGGTGACAAACAACCATCGCCACCACATGGCTCCTTCATTTTCATTCTTCAAAACTCTCAGTCTATTATTACTACTATCGCAACACTTTTTAACCGTTGCTATTGCTTTCACACAGAACATCACAGATACCAGTCCACCTCCGTCTCCCGTTCCCGACGACGCCACTACGAACTCTCAACCTCAACAAACCACCTACACAAAAATAAAACCAAGCGTCGCGATTCTCGTTTGCGTTTTCACCGTTCTCTTTTCTCTCACCTCTGTGCTTCTCCTCTACGTGAAACACGTCAATTACATCGCCGCCCCTGGCGAGATAGGTAATATTGAAAGCGGCGGCAGTTTGTATTTTAACGGCGGGAGAAAAAACTCCGGGATAGACCGTTCTGTGGTTGAATCGTTGCCGATTTTCAGATTCGGATCACTTACAGGTCAAAAGGATGGTTTAGATTGTGCGGTTTGTCTTTGTAAATTCGAATCGTCGCAAGTTTTACGGTTATTGCCGAAATGTAAACACGCTTTTCATGTGGAGTGTGTTGATACGTGGCTGGATGCACATTCAACTTGTCCTCTTTGCCGTTCTAGAGTCGATCCTGAAGATGTTCTTCTCGTAGTGGAAGATAAAGATTCTTCATCATCATCAACAACAACGTACCAGATTGACAATCAGAATCAGAAGGAAGAAGAAAATGAAAATGAAAATGTGATTGAATTTGAAAGAGGAAGAGTATCTAGAAACGAGATTGTAGAGAATTATCGAAAGAGGCATTCGTCGGTAGGGGAAAAGGAATGGGAACGAGAACGAGAAAGGAAGAAAACGGCGTCGTTTAGATGGTCTCTGGATAGTTCTAGAAAGAAGAGCGAGAGTAGCATTGGGCTTGGGCTTGGGCTTGGTTGTTTTGCTGGGCCGAGAAAAGATGGGATGTTGTTAACGAAAGAAGAGAGTAGCGTGGAGCGGGGAAAGAGGTTGGAGCATCGGATTATTGTGTCACCATCAGTGAGGAGGCTCCACCAGAATCAACGGTGGAGTGATGTGCAACCGTGTGATATGTTGTATCTAACTTCAGAGATGATGATAATGAGTGGAGTAAAGAATGTGAATGGGAGGAATAATGGAAGTAGTTGGAGTGGCAGGGGAGTAATTAATTCGAGAAGTGTGTCTGAAATCACGGGACTCAGCAGGTTCCAAAGCAACAGCACAGAGCAATAGTAGTAATAATTATTACAGTATTTCTAATAACATTGAAACTCATTAGTAATGGCAGTGTCATGATTTTGTTATTTATAATCGGAGAAGCTGCTACTATGTGTTCTGACTCACTCCCTGATCTCGACCTGCCAACTTGTTGGTGCATTTGTATCATAACATAGCATAGCATTGCCATTTCTTATTGAGACCCTAACACAGTTAGAATATAAAAGTACTGGTACTTTTTATAATTAATATTTTATTTTATATTATATTTTTGTGTATGATTTTGAAAATGGCGACGTTTGTTGGATTTATTTGGGTGGAATAGAAGCAGAGATATGGGAAGGGATGGATGGGTGGGGTAAGCTAGAGAGACATAACTGCGGATACCGAAGCGTAGAGTGGGGTAAGGGGATTTCTGGTGCGTGGAAAAGCACGTGATGTTAAATGGAGATCCCTTTGTCGTGTCTTTCGCAGTAATCAATTCTTTTTTTACCTTGCTCTATTTCTCTTCCTCCATGCATCGCATTCATCATCAACATAGCATACGTACAAACGTACCTTAAGAATTCGTGTTCTATTCTAGAGCTCGAGGGAATATATGTATGGCAACATCCTTAGATTTGAAGTTGATAGAAAAGGACCTAACAATTACAACCTTTTGCATTATATATTTTACTTCAAGATAAGTAGTGTCTTTCATTCTTAAGTAAACAACTACTACTCCATGAGATACAACACAAAATTCAAACCAAAAAACTCCATGAGATACAACACAAAATTCAAACAAAAAAACTCCATGAGAAATAAAAATGGAATATTCATCAATGCCTTAAGATTTCAGAAATACATATCAGAGATGTATCAAAGATGTATTAAATTATATTTTTTTTTTGAAGATGTATTTTCAAATTTAAATTAATTATATATTTTCGGAATAATACTTTGTGGAATGTAAAAAAATAGAAATGAAAAACATCAACTTCACAAAATCAAAATATCATTGATATCATAAAATAAGCAATATATAAGAAATTTTAACATAGATTAAATATTACACTTCAACATCCAGGTGGACGTTGTAACATCTTGATAATATCATCGATCGATCTCGAAATAGTCGTATACAACTCGATCGGAACTTTTGATTCTAAACGGAAAAAGTATTCCACATAGTTCGTAAATCAGTGCTCGTCTTCAGCTCGTGATTGATAAACTCAAGCTTCCCTTCTTTGTCAACGGATGACAAGCGATATTCGATCTTCATAATTTTGTGATTGTCGTCGTATAATAGAAGGTTATGCAATATGTGATGCAGATCTTCAAGAGGGGTGTACTCGTTGATCTTAAATTCTCATGATGGTGTGTTGTCGGCAAAGTAAACATTTCCAACATGTCATTTGATGTTCATTCTAGTTTTTGTGTTTTGGTATGAAATAATATGACAAGTGAGTTTATTTATAGTAGTGGGATGCTAATATGGACCACGCATATTCTACCTTGTGAGAGAGAAATTTTTGGAGATGTAACTCCGAAAACACCCTTTATTTGTTTATTTCGGAGAAGTACTTCCGAAAACTTCTTTGATATTAGAAAATAGAACAAAAACAAAAACAAAAACTTGTATTGAATGCTGAATTTTTAGTCAAACTACAAAATGCTTATATTATACAGCATAATACATTAACAAAATGACATATACAATAAAATGATAAATAACTACTTAAATAAATTAAAATAATTATCGTCGGTCAAATCTATTGGTGGTACTCCTTTGATTTTTTCTTATTTTTTTCTATTTCAATGTTGTTCAATTTGGTGTACTCTTACATCCTTTCAATAAATTATTCCGGCCAATTCTCGGATTAAGTTGTATAATTAGTTGTCCACTCTGGTGATGTAAGTGATATATGGCATCTCGGCTTCAAATACACTCGAAGAAAATATCACAGATTTGAAATCCACCCAACATAGATGATACGATCATTGGGATTTGTGGTGGAGCAGTGCGCAGTGGGAAAAAAGTTTAAGAATTGTATCTTATAAGATCAATACACATTCTCTCATATGCACTTGTTATGAGATGACTCATCTCAGGGAAGCACATTCATTTATCCTTAAGTGCAGATCTATTAATGCAAGGTACAAGAGCGTAATAAATTTCTTCAACTTTCTCTTTATTCCCAAACACATGTGTGTATAATTCTTTATTATTCCTCAACTCTTTGATAAGGATATGACAGACAAGTGTGTGATACTCTTCTCCTTTATCGAGCAAAGAAGACACAGTTTGAATACCACAGTTATTGTCACCCTTGACATTGACGATTTGTTCAATGTAATTGTGCATAAAAATCGACATCTCCTCGATGACTGGTATTTTTGGTGGAAGGCGGCGTAGGAGGTAGTTTGTTAATGTGGGCTCCTTTGAAATGCAAAACCTTCAGAATATGTTTTCTTAGACGTAACATCAATAATTTCTAACAATAGAAGCCTGTATTTGTCGGTCTTATACGTTGAATCAATTATAAGCACAGTGAAAAATATGTTGAACAATTTAATACAATCAGAATGAGTCTAATATATATTTCTAATTGTTACTACATCCTCACATCTCTGGTGCCTAGAAACGTAATTATTGTCATCTAGAATTTTTAAGAGGTGTTGCATTTCGGTTCAATCCCTCGTAAATGCTAATTTGGATTGATAGTGCCTATTATACACTTGTTTGATATTTGAGATATTTTCGAGTCTTTTGCGCTTCAAGGTTGTAATTATGTTTTTTGGAGGTACCAAATTCAAAGTCATGTCGGAAACACATTTCTTCTCTTCCGACAAGAGCCGACATTCAATTGGATGACCGACTAATTTTGCACATAAATCATGATTATGTAAATCACATATAACAATCAATCTTTATTTATTATTTGTCAATCGATAACCACGCAACTTAAATGGACATTCACATTTTTTTTAAACTGATTTTATCTCGTTTCAAATTCCAGAGAGGAGGTCTATATTTACCACTTCTTTCGCACCTCAATGTCACAAATGCACTTCTTCTTTCTGAATCATTATCGGACCTTCCGATCACAACACCAAACCATATTTTGATGGCCTATGTATGTATCCACTGTAACATGTCATCACGAAATTCATAATTTTGTTCATTTTTAAAATGGTTCCGAATATCTACCACATTCACTAGGAGAAGTGAAACAACTTGAGACACAATAGATTTGAGGATATCATCGGGATGCAACATACCTAATGTAAACAACGACATATAAACTAAGAAACATTCATAGAAATAACAAAATTGTTGGAAAATCAGCAAAGACAGATACTGAAATATATTTTCATACAAGTTCATTGTGTTTCCGAAAATATACTTTTGGTATAAACGTGACTTTTTTTTTTTACTGAAAGACCATATTAATATAATGAATGGGAGTTGAAATGAATGAACTTTACCTTAATTTCCACTTTCTTTAACTCATTTTGATATGATGAACACAAGAATGAAGATTTGGAGTGAAAAACTTGATCGAGAATGAAAGGGTTTTTATAAAGGGTTTAAGAAAACAATTGCAAATGAAATTGATCATGTTGGTTGTTGTTTTTAGCAATTTGGCCTTTGATTTTTCCGAAAATACATCTCCGGAAATATCTGACCTACAAAGATGACACAAATTCCAATTTCCAACACTAATTTATCGGAGATACGTCTCCGATCATATCCTTGTAATAGTTCTAAATCAATTAATTATATTATAATTTTGAAGATATATCTCCGAAATTTTTCTTAATTTCACTATGGGATGACACCACATTTAATCGCATTTGTGTGGTGTGAAAAATGCGTCTGAAAATATACTTCCAAAAACAGATGGACAATTTAAGAATTTCATAAGATTCTTCTTACTTATATAAAATATAATAAAAAATTCGATTAAAATCACAATCAATCTATTATGTCATTTTATTTTTGTACGAATGACATCCTCTCATTTAAAAACAGTAAATTTACCAATTTAATCTATATAGAGAGTAACATTTTTATTTTCTAGAAAAGAGTTTTTTTTTTAATTATAGTACAAACAGTGAAGGTTTATATCAAAAATATATATAATGTCAACATTATATTGTAATAAACTAAATATAATTTGTGCATATAAATGAAATTGTAAGTAAAAATTTAATCACATTATTAACATGATAAACATGAGGATATAAAACTTTATCAAAAAACAAAGTGAGGTATAATTTAGTCTCCAGTACATTGTCACATGTGGCCACGCTTGACATATTCACAGGATTCCGTTTTTTTTTTCTATTATTACATTGATATCTTTGAATTTGTCTGTGGCAGTTTTGGTTTGATGTCTTTTACTATTGGACAATTTTCAACTTAGGCTGTGTACATTTTTCAAATTAACTAACCCTGCCAAGATAAAACAAAAAGGAAACGAAGAACCAAGGCTCAAAGAGATCCTTAAGTAACACTTCGGATCCACCCCTAAAAAGTTTCACTTTCACAAGCAAAACAAGAATCCACCATTATAAAAACAAGGCTATAAGGGGCTATTTCAGAGTTAGTTTTTTGGAGGGCAAGACTTTGGAAAATTATGTCTTGATATTTTTAAAAAGTTTAAAAAACAATATGATCTTAAATGCTAATGTGGTATATTGTTTTTTTAACTTTTTAAGAATATCAAACATATTTCTAGATACAGGCGCAACCCTCAAAAATATTTCCCTCCAAAACCTTCCAAAAATCAACTCCTAAACATAGAGATCCTTAAGTAACACTTCGGATCCTCCCCTAAAAAGTTTCACTTTCACAAGCAAAACCAGAAACCACCGTTATAAAAACGTACTAGTATAACATTGAGCTCACGATGCAAGGAATGAAGAAAGGAGAATGAATTCGAACGGTTTTTATCCATTAAAAAATTTACTACTATTGCAATACCAGGATAGTAGTAATCTAAAGTCACAGATATTTTCCCAACCTAACATGTACCAACGATATACACATATTACAAGAGTAAACAGATCAACAATTTTTAAACTAAGTTTTAAGAAGAACCATATTCATACATATATCTACAAATTAGTTTTTAGGGATAATTCCCTCACTTCTTTATTGCGGAGGCATAACCCGCCTCCTCTTTGCAGCTTGTTCCTCACAAATATCAGGTCCCACTCCCATACCATCAATCATCTGACCATCATCACATGCGGCCTCCTCATCTACTGCATCAGAAACTTGATGCAACCCTATTGTGGGGGCCTCCTCATCAACTGCATCAGAAACTCGATGCAACCCTATTGTGGGAGCTTCCTGACAGGTAGAGTGAATATCTCCACTCTTATAACCATCACAAATCACGATGGAGTCTTTAGAAATTCCCATGGCCGAGGGTATTGATAAATTGTTGCTAGCAGAACCACAGATATCTATAAAATGCTCGGTATTTTCTATGGGTGAACAAATTTTTTCACCTTGTTCTGCCTCATTAGATGCTATGAGTTCATTCCCATCGTCAAGAGAGTATTCTGTGACCCCTATGTCTTCTGTATCATCGGAACTGCTGGGAGATGACACATCCTCTTGCAGAGAGATTTCTAGTATGTGATTAGTCCCATTTCCACAATCCCTCGGAAGGTAAGGCAAAGGACATGCTTGAGGTGTAACTTCAGCTACTTGCTGGAAGTTGGTATCTGTGGCTAAGTTGGTATCTGTTGCTAAGTACATAAGTTGTTCCCCAAGATCGGAGGTTTCCTATTAAATAGAACAAAAAGGTGAGGGTATTAGCTTCAGAATCAATAAAAAGAGGGATACGACCTAAACTAACTTAGTCTATTCAGAATGTAGAAATCTGCACATCACTGAATAACTATGTAAAATAATATGTCCCAGGAGAGGGTAAGCCCCAAGCTAATGTAATTGGATAAAATGCAAAGCACCGTTAAAATTTACTATAGGAGCCTTGTTTGGCACAAGGACTCAAATCTCAGCAAGTGAAATGAGGGGTCTGGTCATGCCCGGAAAACATGCTGAAAAAGGAATGTTCTACAGGCCCAAGGGACAAATTCAAACGATATCCGGAAAACAAAATCCATGTACACAGATAAAAGTGCATACCTCCGTCGAAAATATCGAATTATTGAAACGATAATCAGATGGTTGCTGGTCAAAAGAATGGCACTGTGCCGATGTTGCCGCTGAAGCACCTGGCTCAAAGAGGTCCTTAAGAACCATGCCTGGGTTGTTAAAAGATTGAGGATCCAAAGACGATGATCCAGACAATAGAGTCATTTCTATTCCCTGCCCATCAAAGGAAATTTTTGACTCCCTGTTGACTTCAGGATGCTCAATGCAGATTCTGTTTTCATTATTTTCTATGTACTGGGGGTCATCACTACAGTCCGAGGACGAGACTTCACGTGAATCACGGTTTTCCACAAGTTCGGAAATCAACTTCTGGATCAGTGTTCGCTTGAGATATGCCTCGGCAGGCAGAAACCAATCTGCATTGAGCTGGAAAAATACTAGCTATGTCAGGCCAAATCCATACAAGAAACCATACAAACCAATAAGTTTGTCAGTGTTACCCTTAGAAGGTTAAAACGGTAGATATAAAACAACTAAGCAAGGAACTATAAAAATTGGGAGATGTAATATTCGATAGGCACGATCATAGCTCAGATAAAGATAAACCAAGTTGAAAAAATAGCAATAAGGAACCATATGAATCATTTATGAAGTTGCCCGCTGCCCTTGTAATATTAAAACAGATAACATAAAGACAACAAGGCAAGGAACTCAGAAACATGGGGGGTGATACTGATAGTAATATAGGAATGATCAACAGCTCAGATAAATATAAACCAAATATGGTAAATTGCCAACAAAAGAATTATGGATAAAACTTTATGACAAATGGTGATAATACATCAAGTGGTTAATTAAGTCAAATCAGTGGCTAATCATTATCTACTCTTTTAATATTGATAATCAGGCATTGTTTTTTCCAATGACCTTTTATGACTCTCCCTAAAAAAGATTGACATAAGCCAAAACTAAGTTAAGAAAACCACTTACAAAATTGGAAAACTTGGTTAGTTTGAATGGATTGAAAGTAAGAGGAGCTTCGGCAAGGAAGAGCTCTAGGTAGTGCAGCAGAAAGAGGCCACAATCATATGAGTTATCCTGCTGTGGCAACTGTCATGAAGAGAGCATGTGGTCATAAAACAATAGGGAAACCAAGCAGAATATCAGATAACAAAAAGGTGGTCAATGTTCTCGGCAGCCCACAATAAGCACGGTATATTCCTGCCTGTTTTTCGACAGCATATGAAGGGGAAAATCAAAATTACCAAGTGATAGTATTTTCCTTTTCAAGTGTATCTACAAAATTGGTTTGCACAAAATTTCCTAGCATACGATGGATTGAACCAAATACCTATATATTTTACAAGGACAGTACAAACTCATTTCAACAGTGAATACAAATTTTTTTATATTCATCAATATCATTAGCTAAAAGATTTTTTTATGTGGAGACACCGCTTTCTTTAGTAGTTCCCTGAACCATGTAGAATACTTATGTGCAATATAACTAAAATTTCTTTCGTCAACACAGGTATAACTAATATGAACTGAAAAAAGAATAATTATCCTTGATCTCCTTATTTAAAAGGGGTAGCCTTGGTTCTAGGTAAGGTGGTTCCATTGTGACTCTGGGGTCATGGGTTTGAACCCTGCTGGAAACAGCCTCTCTGTTATAAAAAACAGGGGTAAGGCTGCGTACATCCGACCCCCCCCCAGAGCCCATAAAATGGGAGCCTCGTGCACTGGGTTACCCCTTTTATCCTTGATCTCCTTATTTGAGAGTCATTAATATATTAGCAGACAGTACCGCTAGGGGGAGAAAACGCAAATTTGAAAATAATGCTGAAAGGTCTTCTTCCGGTGCATCTTTATGTCTCTCTTTCCATTCTTCCCACAAGTAACTGTCAATATCAGATAAGAAGGGATTAATGAATAGCACTTTGACTTCCACTTGTGAAATGAGAATATAAAAAAATACAAGGAATATGCTGAGAAGTAGCTATAGAAATAAAAATGTGGGACTTAAAGCAAGGTAACAAAAGACAGAGACAGCAAGATACTAATGAAATAAAAAATGCTAATGCAAACTCTTAGAATGTGAGTTTGGGCCTAACTCATCCCTACAAAACCAGCTTTTTAGGTGAGGATTTTCTCAACTTATAAACACAACAGGTCATATCTCTAAACAATGTGGGACTAGATCCACCCCTTCAAACTCAACACAATGTAGGTGTTGAAGGTTACAATGAAGGCAAGCTAAATGCGCAATTTTAGGCGACTAGGGGCGAACTGCAATGAAGGCGGAAATTCCAACACACCCCCTCACACTCGGGCCTCAATGAGGCAAAGTGAAAACGATGCGAGAAGCCCAACAAGTGATCTAGGATAGGCTCTAATACCATCTTAGAATGTGTGGGGTGGGTCTTAACTCATCCCCAGAAAACCAGTTGTTAACGTGAGCATTGCCCCCATCATTTATAAACACAATGCAGGTCATATCTCTAAACAATGTGGAACTAAATCCACCCCTTCAAACCCAACACAATGAAGGTGTTGGAGCCTGCAATGAAGGCAAGCCAAATGCCGCAACTTTAGGCGACTAGGGGCGGACCGCAATGAAGGCAGAAATTCCAACACATGCACTAAGCAGCAACAATAAATACGTACATTAATTTTGGATTTCTTTTAGTTATACATTACTAGTACTCTGTTACTTATGTTTTCCAAGTTCAAGCAGATTTTGAAAGTGACAACCAAAACTACATCATAAACCTCTGAAGTTATGAAATTTAAGTATGTGTTTTAATGTGTTTCAATAATCTAGACTAAAATTAACTATAACATTTGTTTACACAGTATACGATCAATGATTTGCACAATTTTACAACAAAAAAAAAATAAGAAACAGAAGATATAGATTAGGGGAAGCACACTCTCATGCAATGCGCGGGAAAGCCACCAACCTCTGCGAGGATTTACAATGAATTTACATATAGCTTATCCACCTCTGCAATGATTTACACACTTTTATTTTTATATACATATACATATAGTTTTCAACAAAATATGAGTTAAACGTAGATTGAGTTTAAATTAATTATTATACGCAAATCTTGGGCTAAGGATGCAATTTACTGCTTCTAACGTCATGGTTTTCTTGAATGGCTACTGATTAGTATGTTTAGTAATTAGGTGATGTATTGATCAAGCAAACTTCATGACTAATTACATCATTGAAAGAAGCTTATTAACGGCTAGGAAAATTATTATCAAATGCTCAATAAGATCACAATTTAACAAAGGTACTGCCAAACAAACAATTACAAAATTTAGGCGCAGATATAATATCAAATTGTTATGAATGTTGAAATAATTAAGAAATTATATCAAGGGTGTGTTTGATGCACACAACATGCGCAAAATCAGTACATGACAAATAGTCCGGTCATAGCATAATTATAGGTGTTATAGGTTATTAGGTGGTCAATGCACACAACACAACAAACTATACTGTGCTATATATTGTCTGATAATACACACTAAACAGAATAATCTAAAATTTACTTCAATGAGCTTTATCCTTTGTAACGTCTGTTATGCACCCAAAAATAGACAGTTTTGATGTCTTTAAATTATTTAATTTCCATTATTTTTTCACGCTGATGTTATCCCTTTTTATAATTTATTAATTTGATACATTGATTACAAAGGAATGAGCATTGTGAATGTAAGCTAATTGATTCAGATCAGTCAGTTACATACAGTAACAGAATCTTATAACAGAAAACTGATTCTGTTATGAACTACTCCATCCATTCCTATTTAGTTATCGTTTTAGGGTTATTTACACATACCAAGGAAACTAGTAACCCTTTGTTACTTTTGATTGAATAAATTGTTTTTGCATATATTACCTTTAACTATTTATTATCTCATTCCACTTCTTTCTCTCTTTGCAATAAATTATGGGTATTTTTGACAAAACAATAATTAATTTTGCATTAAAGTTAGAAAACAATAATTAAATAGGAACAAAATTTTACTACAAAAGTGATAAGTAAAAAGAAACGGGGGGATACCTTTGCAGCAGGTTTTTCAGACCGCTATGATTTCCTTTTATAGAATCCATATGTAATATACAGGGTACTCTAAGCGAGTTGGCCAACTCTTCATCTGAAATATTCATATGTCTCAAAACATCAATATTTGAAAAGAATATTCCATACGAAATATCACAAATCGAGACCTCACCATTGAAATTAACCACTTCACCAGGATGACATATGACTATTAAGCTCCAATGAAGACTGCCATAATTTAACACTAATCAGAACTTGAATAGAAATTGAGACAATAAGAGAAGCCAAACTGTGATGGAATCGTACTTGAAGTTCACAGGAATGAAGATGTAATCCTTTTCAAATAAATTTACTTTTCTTGTCCATTTACGAACACGTAGAAATGCTGCTTTTCCATCCGAAGCACTAGATGGATTTTTGTCCAAATCAGCTAGCTTTCGAAAGAAAAAACTATTAAAAAAATGAAATCTCGGTTTTTCCTCCTCTTGTATCTGATTCTTCAGATACCTACCAAATTAGAGATTTTCAGAACTGTTAAAAACCATCTTCAAGAATCAGAGTGTAGATCAAAAGCGCTGGAATACAACTTTCTTTTCTTAATATTTTATACTTTAAACCTAATCCTGCAATCGTCAATCCTTTTAATTTTTATTTTTCTTTCAACATGCACATGACATATCTTCTTGTTCCTCTGCCCATAAGTACTTACATGATTATATATTTTCAACTAAAAATGCATGTCACATAAATTATGCAAAAACACATCTAATTTTTAAAAGGAAAAAGATAAAGAAAGCTCTATGGTGGACAAAGTTACAATTTAAAAAAATGTAGGCGCACGCACACATACACACAAACTTACTGGATGTAAAAGTCAATTATTGTGTCATTAATGAATGTATCAGGTTGTAATAGATCAAAATCTCTCTTGCTTAGAGAAACAGCATCTGGGTCCCCTTCAGGATATATGACTTCATCAAAAGGCTCCTCAAAACTGTAACAGATCCATCAATTCTCAGAATCAGCAACCATATTGGAGCAGCCCCAAACCACACAGAATAAGAAGAGTAGTGCATGTGAGGTAGAAAGGAATACATTGTAATGAAAATCAATAAGATAACATGCTCTTTTATATGCAATTTAACAGAAACATTAAAAAGGACCGAGGATTAGAGAAAATATGGATTTTGTCATAAATATAACAGAAATCGTAAGTCTTTACCTAAAGACATGGGAATCATGAAATACAATATACAAACCAAATCAAGGACTCCAACAAACAAATTAACAAAGGATATCTGCAACATCCTAAGCCAGATATCTCAGAAGCGCACATTAAAACATTGAATAGGCCAAGGAACATGAAAAGAAGAAAGATAAAATATACAGCATATACAACGTAAAAGCAAAAGGAATAGGTTACCAGGAAGCACTAAAGAAGACAACATTATCAAAACAAGACAGTGACATCAATACTTCTAAGTAAACTCGCCTAAAAAGTGAAATTAACAATTCTTACTCACTTAGGAAAGTAGCATCTTGATCCACCCGATTTAGTATCGGTATCTTCTACATCCATACTACAAGAGAAAAGTTTAATTGCAAATATATCATGTCGGATAAATCTTACAAAACAGCATTTAGAGCAGAAAACGTATCTACTTCAAATCAGTTTTAGCCCAAAAATAAAATTTACTACGAGAAATGGAAACAAGTATTATGAGTATATGCAAAACACAAATATTATAATCAACTGAGTCTTATCAAGACTAGTGCTTCGCAAACTACCCAACAACTATAGTTGATGGATACCAAAAGCCAGCAGTTGCATACCTGAAATCTCTGCAACATTTTATAGAACAGTTGATGATTCACTTACCAAGGGAAAAAGTATAACCATACACAATTTTATGACTTACTTAAGCATGACGTTCCAAATAGCCAAGTATTTTAGATTAAGAGATGTGATCTGTTTATGTATCAGGGCCCAATTGGAATCAATAACTGCAATCTCCAATTCCTCAATGCCTAAAATAAACATATGCATATAATACATTTAAAATCAGTAAAAGAGAAGCTATCTGCAAACACTAAGATCAAAATGCTAGAAATTACCCCGAGAAGTGTACAGTTTAAATTTAAATAACAATGTCAAGCATGCCAAGGTGTAACAAAGAAAATCATCCCGCATTGATCAACTAAATTAGCTACACTCACCTGAAGTGTCGCTTACATGATCTAACTGATCTGCATTCCTTGATATTACATTAATCTTTATGATGACCGTTCCACTCTGAAGAAAGTACACGTCAAGAACTATAGAACTCATACAAAAAGAAAACAAATAGTGCTAGCAACAAAACTATAAGACTCACACTTGGAAACAACTGACACTTAATATCAATGAGATCATCAAGTCCCCATTCAAGATCAAAGGCCCCTTGCTTCATACTTGCAGTTGAAACATTGATCTTGATGCAACGATGTGAAAAAGTTAACATTGGCCCCATATAATAATTATCCTGGTAAACTATATAATCAGGACGGAGAACAACTTCCGCATTCGTGTCATCCTGAAGATTGCATGAAAGGAAATAATAGTTAATGCAAAAACAAAATGAATCAATGCAATATACTACCAAAAAAAATGGTGAATGGATCATGGTAGAAAGCATTTCATATAACAAATATGAACTTTGAAGCTTCAATGAGTTTTACATTGACGTATATTCTAAGACCAGTTCGTAAAAAATGGCCGGGTGGAGGACTCTCCAGGTCCCTTAATATAAAACTCAACCATACATTTTCCTGATTCACATATATTAAGAAAAGTGGTTAATATGGTTGATAGTGGTAAATTTGTCAATGTGTATTAATTTTTAAAAATTTCCTTTATACTACTTTTTGTACTCTTTTAACCAATCCTCACAAGAGAGAGATTAATATTTCCTGTGTGTAAAATAAATGGGGGCATTTAATGCAATGAACAGCTTGAAAGGAAACTTACAAAAAAGAACAAACAAATCTCAAAAAAAGAGTTTATATTTAAGGGAGCATGGAGTAGTAGACAACTGTAATGAAAAAATTACAGTACATAAACAAAGCAGTTGCAAATTTGAAAAGCCCCAAAAGGCGTAAAATACAAGTAATATAAATTACTCTAACATTAAAAAATACCATGTCAGAAGTGTGCGCACCATCCAATCTACAACCATTCATTGAAACTGAAATTATGAAAACTAAGTTGTAAGTAAGCTGCAATATAATATTTCAAATCAAATGTGGTAGATTTCACAAGTAGCAGGGATCTAGGATTACGATGAAATACTCCATTCTCTACAATATCAGAAGCAGCACTTGTTGGAGCACTCTCATGGTTCATGCAATCATCAGCATCAGAACTAACATCAACAGATTCTTTCTGCAAAAAAAGAAATTAAAATATAAGTCTCGCAATCAAATTGTTTCCTTAAGCTGTAATCTTGCAAATAAAAGTTACACTACACTGGATGGAGATCCTGAAGGACCAATCTGCCTCGTCCCAGTTGTAGATGCACCACCACTTGTATCCCTATTCTTTTGTCCGTCATAGTAATCAACATTTATTTTAAAATGACAGTGACTTTCCTGACTAATGGAATTTGATTGTTTGTCAGCGCCTAACTCGGAATTCTTCACTTTGCTATCAAATGTATCTTCCATTGTTTTGAAAGAGGGGTTTGAACAACCGGTTTCCATATCTGAAATACCCCCAATTACATCAACGTCAACACAAGGATTACTGGGGACATTCTTGACACCAACCTCTTTGATCTGGCCATCTGGAAATATATCACGTGAGCTATGTACATTCAATTCAATAAAAAAACTAGCATGAAGATGGATGGAAACAAAACAAGAACATTTGTGTCAAGGAAACCACTTAGAATTGAAAAAGTTGTATAATATTTGAAAGAACAAAGGGAAATGAGATACATGTAACAACACAGTGGCAGATCTTTGTTGTGAGAGTCAGTGAGGTCATTGCCACCCCCAAAATCGTCTTTCTTCTTAATAGGTATATTCATATAGTTACACTTTTTATTTTGATAAATAATATGTTACGTTTTTTCCATGTTATTTTACTTGTGTCCTAGCGGTAAAACGCTCTTCAGCCTCCAAAAGGCTTACGAATCAACTCCTAGATGCTCCTTTCACTTCACTATCACCTGAAGCCAGTGTTGTCGATGGCGGACGGCGGAGAGCCAAAATCCCGCCATACCGGCCACTTTGCGGCACCGTTATTGCGGACTATGGCGGAGCAATTGGATAACACTGTCTGAAGCTGCTGAGTTCCCAAAACAGTATCGTTTTTACGTGATTGATGTACTGCATTAAGCCATATCGGCCAAAAGTATGCCCAAAATATGGTAATAGTAATAACAGACGTATTAATATCATACATGTGTCAGATACGGTAATGACCTGTGCGTATGCTCTAGTTACAGAATGGGTTTTGACATCCATGTGTAAAATAATATGAACATGGTGAAAACAGTTATTTAGGATATGATGAGATCTTCCATTCTGTAGAACAGATCTTGTTCCGGATCTACCTATGGCCGTAAGGGTATTAGTCTTCTGTTATCTTTAATTCTTTTCCATTTCAAGCCTAACATCCTTTACTGTTCATCTACTTATTAATTTAAACCCCTAAGTTGTGTTCTAAATTTACGGCCCCTCAATAAATTCAACAGCTGTGGCATAGACTATACAAATCTTGACTAAAAGTTTGAGAAGTTTCCTTCCAACCATAGGAACTCTTCACGAGATATTAGTAGTTGTTCAGCAGGTAATGCTTCAACAACAATGAGACTGCCAGTGTTAATGTTTACAATTTACTTAATAAAGATAGCCAACCGTCATTACGATATCATACCCTCCTAAGTTCCTAGTTCTGAGTCCTAAGGGTAAGCAAATATTTAATAGACCCCTTTTATAATTCCATGACCTACTCGACTGAACATTTTGTATTCGATTAATACTCATAACTTAATTCATTTTGAGAGTGAAATCGGCACAACTATCACGCGACAAAATCATGTAAAATCTCAACATGAGAAAAAGAGTAAACAGTATCCAGGTTTCAATCATTCAATTTTGCATGTATCAAGTCTTGAGCTAACACTAATACCTAAATCTAACACAATGTCTACACCTAAATTTCACACACGGAAAATCGATCAAAATTGCAAAATCTAACAAAAGGAGTACTAAATACGAATGAATCCAGCTAAGAATCTAGCTTATAAGGCATAATTGCGATTTAGTGTGAAATAATCTTACCGTGAGCGAGAGAATCGTTGGTGGGGATTTTGTTGAATTTGTTGAGGAGTTTGTCGGAGTTAATCGCATCCTCTTCATTGAAATCGAAGACTTGTAGATCTCTTCGCGGAGACTCGTTCATCGTCCCCAATAAACAAGGGTTTTTGAAATTCCGTACTCGGACTTGGGGAGACCTTGTTTGTTAGAGCGCGAAATCGGTGCTAGCTGTCTGTAAGAGACGAAACTTGGATTTGGTGGTGCGTCGAAGAATGAGCAGTGCCCTAAATACGAGTCAGTTTCACCAATTAGACGAAGCCACGTGCGCTACACTACACTTGGAACCCTCTTTCATTTTTAAGTAAGTACGGTCCTATTTATAAGAAAATGTTATTTTTTAAATATGTATTTAATTAATATATTATTTACATAATTATTTCTTTTTAAAATTCTCAAATAGCCACATTTTCAAAAAAATTATAAAAATAATTATTTTTCAAACAAAAAAAATTATCACATAGAGGAGACACCACTATGTGTGGCGCATGCATGTAAAATAGAGAGGAGGTGTCTCACTACATAGTTTATCCTCCTATGTAGTGTCATGCAGTGTGCCGCATGCATGTAAATTTAAAGAGGATATGTGTTTACAGTGATTTCTGATAAACAACCGTTAGTCCTCCAAACTATCGAATAATCTTACTGACTGTTATTCAATCTCTCTGGTAACTCGCAGGATCGACTAGATTGATCTTAGGATGTATTGGTTATTAGGGTAACTCTCATGATAGAACTGGTATTCATGGTTGGTATTTAGAATGTTGTGTAGGTATTTAACTTACTTCGATTACTCTATTAAAGATCTAAAGGCGTGCTCAAGTAAATTTGCGTGAAACTAAATTGCATGAATAAAGTTCAATTGTAAAGACATGTAAAAACTACATAAAAGACAAGTAAACGACTTCGAAGCATAAAAACATGTAATGTAAAAGATTCTCTGGAATGTAAAAGATTCGAAATATGAAGAAAGCGTTTAAATACAAGAAAATAGTAAAATGACTTTAAGTAAAAAAAGGTGTTCGAATGATAAAAACTTGAAGATAAAGGCATGAAATGTATAACAGTTTCTGAAATGTAATGTATTTGAAATGGAAAGAAAGCATTTAAATGTAAGGCATCAGTAAAAAGACTTCGAATGAAAACATTTTAAATGCAAAAGCTTTTGAATGGTATTGACATGAAGATAAAGGAAAATACTGGAAATGATAAAGAGTTTTCATTAAATCATAAACACTTGGTGTTATCATACGTACATTGCTCGTGCATTCGTTTCCCTAGCCATGTGGTATTTTGAATGTTTACTGAGTTTATTGTACAATAGATATGACACACGAAATCCTAATGCTAAGACTTCTATTTATACTACTTCGACCATAACGGTCTTGCTATAAGATTCTGCCACGTTCAGAACATGCAGAGCAATGCCTCTCTCTTGCTTCCACGCGTCTTCGAATGCTCCAGCGCATATATTTCAAATTTCGAACATCCCGCTTGCATTTGAATTTCAAATGTTTTGGCACTTCTTCGCTTCGAACGCATTTCTTGGACACAACTTTGTACATTTCGAGACTTCTTTGAATATATTCTCATAACTGTCACTCGAAGCTCCAAATTTTGATATGCTTATTCGAAGCACTACTTCTACCATTTCGAAACATGACATCTTGCTTTATTCCAATCGAAACATCCAATTTTCTTCGCTTCTAATAATATCATCAAAATCTTCAGCCAACAAAATGCGAATTTTTTTTATTAATAACCAAGTATTAAAAAAATATTTCGCGAATAACCGGGTTTCGGAAAAAATTACGCAAATAACCATGTTTGAGATGGCTCCATAAAGGAGGAGCCATCTCATTTGGCGCATCCTCCTCTTTTTATAAGGGAGGCGCCATCTCATTTGGCGCCTAAGGGCAAATGGCAAGCCCTAAGCCAAGTGAGATGGCGCCTATGTACAAAGTTAGGTCAAAAAAAAAAAAAAATCTTTCCTGCGCGTTGTGTATTAGACAGAGATAAACAAAATTGATTTTTTATTTGATAAAAAATAATTACATTGAACTGTTTTACATTTAAATAACAGTAAAAAAATAGATACAAAAAATACTGGAAAAAAAAAGATACATCAATGATCCCCAGGAACCCGGTAATGACCCCCAGTTCCGCATCCCCGTCCTCGCCTTTCTCTTGCTGGGTGCCGTCTCGTTTCCTGTTGCGGCAAGGTCGATGGCCCAGCGAAGTCAATGCGATCTGAATCCATAAAATCAGTAAGATCTCCATATCTCGAAGATCCGCTCTGGTACAGTCGGTTACCCATACCCTCGAAGTTTGGTCGTGTTGGCGGTGGGTGGGGTTCCATGGTTGGTCGGTAGCATTGGTCGTCTGAGTATGGGGGTAGAAAGGAAATGGATCTTGGGGTGTTTGGTACTGTGGATGTTGGGTTGTTTGGTGATATGGTGGTTGATGGTAGGTTTGGTCGGGTTGGTCATAATCTTCTGACATTCCCATATCAAGGCTAAGGCTGGATGTTGAGGGCCCCATATTGGGATATGTGGAAGACTGAAATTGTGTATGGGGTATGTGGGTTTGCTGGTATTGGGGTTGGTATTGTGGTTGGGTTTGAGGCATATCTGGGTATTGGTAGTTTGGCGGTGATTGTGGTTGGTAGTACGGCATTTGGTTGTAGTTGTGTTGTGGTGGGGAATGTGGTTGTGTGTTTGTTGGTCTGTTTCTTCTAGGGGGTTGGTTTGAGGTTGATGGATTTTGGGTTTGTTGGTGGGGAATCGAGGGTTGTGCCCATTGTGTGCGTGGGTCAACCAAGTACCTCGGATGAGACACGTGCATATCTGGGTTACTAACCGACCTGTACCACGACATATATTGATCGGTGTGTCGCATGTTACCTTGAGTAAGGAAAATAGGGGATTGCAAGATGTAGCGGTGACGCCTTTGGCACATTTTGCACCATTCTGGAGCAAAGTCTTTCCAGTTGGTTAGATTCCACTGGGCGTCGACCCTTTTTAGATGCCAGGGGGACAAATCTGTTGGATCACTTGGTATCTCTTGGATCATTCCAAACTGCATCTTCACACGGTCGCTGTGGTGCATCTCCACAATGTTGAACCGAATGAGTGCAGTCTTTGCAGTCCAAGTTGCTGCATCCTCTGGATTTGGAGAATGGTCCAAACCCAAATATGGTCTCCAGACGAACTGCGATAAAATTTAAATCAGGTAAGCGCAAAAGTAATGTATAAATAATTAAAATGAACAAAAGTTAAAAGCTACGACTTACGTCATCTGGGCCTAAGTGATCCAACAGATTCCGGTAGAGTGCGACATTGAATCTGGGATTCTTGCCGTAATCCATACCCCTCACGCAGTACCTATAGGAAATGAGAAACATGTTATTTTTAGCATATATTTTGGAAAGAGAAGAATAGTTATAAATGCTATAACTTAATGACTTACTTTGTTGCGTAAGGGAAACCAAAAGTGTTGTTGTTGATGGGGTTTAAGGACTCCATACTCCACCAACCCCAGGCTTGTAGTAAAAATGCGCACCCATAAAATGTACATTTTTCCTTGACAGCGTTTTTGCACAAGGAACTGTACAGGTGGGCTAATACTGCAGAACCCCAACTAAATTTTCTAGTTTTATCAAAATTTGTTAGTAAATGTAAGTACATGAAATTTACACTATTTCCCGTACTTTCGGGAAATAAAAAAGTACCAAAAAGTATCATAATATAAGTTCGGGCTTTTACTACTCGGTCATTCTCTGAGGAATTTTCATTTAATTCCATACTTGCATAATGCCGTTTCAGGTCAGTGAGTAGTATTCCATGCCCTCTTGCTCCACCACCTTCTACCATGTCCCTACCTAACAGTTCTTCACACTGTGAGTTGGGTTGTTGAACCGACCCGTTCACCGCTTTACCGTCAATAGGGAGGCCCAGTAGCATGTACACATCTTCGAGAGTGATGGTACATTCACCTATTGGTAGGTGAAATGTATGGGTCTCCGGTCTCCACCTCTCCAACATTGCAAGGATGAATTTGGAGTCAATGGTGCAGTTGGAGATCTTTATCACGTGTCCAAAACCTGCATATTCCAGATAAGGGACGATGAAAGGGTCGGGAGCCAGGTATTTGTGCGAACGGATTCTGAATCTTTGTGTATCCTGAGATCATAATTAAACAAGAGTAAGATTAATTAAGATGAACAACACGTTTTTTAAAGTATGAAAATGTATAACCAAAGAAGAGACTTACAAATGCAGCAATGTTTTCCCTTGTGCCTCTGTGAGTTTCTCCCATTGTTAGAAGGGCCATTCTTCAGAACACTTGAGAGAATGAAAGACTTAGGAAGAAATAGAGAGTATGATAGACTTAAGAAATATTTCGTAGCAGAGAGTGAGAGTTGTGTGGGTGTGAGAGATGTTTCATAAGGTATGTATTTATATGCAAATAATTTTGATGTAGTGGTTGCATGCCTGCGAGGTGTCACATTTGCATGCTTAGGGAGTTACACATATGCATGCATGCATTTACAAATAATGTAAGGTGTCACTCTTGCAGGCTAGGTGGCAGCCCATGCATGTATCACGATTGGACAGTAAGGGAGGCGCCATCTCACTTGGCGAAATAGTACAAAAATGAATGGTGTCGCCACCCCATTTGGCGAATAAGAGGTGTCACGTTTTACAGCATTGGCTCAGGCTACGTGACAGCCTTTGGGATTCCTTTCTCTGTTGCATGCAAGGCCATTAGAGTTGATGGGTGGCAGGCTTACACAAAACATTTATGTGTGTAGAATAGGGCCAGGCTAGGTGGCAGCATAAGCCCATGCATGTATCACGATTGGACAGTAAGGGAGGCGCCATCTCACTTGGCGAAATAGTACAAAAATGAATGGTGTCGCCACCCCATTTGGCGAATAAGAGGTGTCACGTTTTACAGCATTGGCTCAGGCTACGTGACAGCCTTTGGGATTCCTTTCTCTGTTGCATGCAAGGCCATTGGAGTTGATGGGTGGCAGGCTTACACAAAACATTTATGTGTGTAGAATAGGGCCAGGCTAGGTGGCAG